TTACATAATCGACACACATACCTTTTTTGATTTCCTAAAAAATACCGAAAACAGCGACAAACACGTAAACGCAGGAAAAGTGATTAGAAAGTGGCATGCATTGTTCCGGTCACGTAATCGACATTTCGTGTCGTATTTTTTTCAATTAAATCGCAATTCATATTCCGACGTAACAATAGATATGGTTAGGCATGGCGCAGTGGATATATACAGTATATATATACACGCAATGTATATTAAGTAACCAAAGTAACCACAGCACTTAAGACAACGAGTATTTTTGTACTTTACGTTAAAGGGAGTCGATTGAAGACACCAAAACAATATGGATGATGTCAATCTTCAGAATCAACTTGCGGCAGCACAAAGTAAAAATCAGCGGTTTCTCTTTTCATCCTTAGTTTGTAAGGTAGAACGGAATAATATCGTGAGAAATTTTTATTCATAATCTTAATGATTTTCAGCCTTGGAGGTTATTGGAGAAGTTGAGGCAGAATTTAGAAGTAAGGAATTAGTCTTCCGTCAATGTTCTTTTCAACAGTCAGTTTGTGGTTTTAAATTAGGTACTGACGTGTGCACCCAAAACCCATCGCCCGTTATAAGTGAACAGCCGGGAAAAACTTTACAAACGCCTCACGGAATGTCTCGGCACCGAAAATGCAGTCGTGAACTTTCTCATCTGGTTTTTCAAGGAAAGCGGCCTATCACCCCAATCCCTTCCCACCGTGTGCTTGCAATGCAACCAACCGTACACAACCGGAAGATGGTGTAAACCTTGCGAAGCCTACTTATTTGACAAGAACTCTGATTCGTGGACAAGCGGAGATGAGAAGATCGATAAGTTGATTCGAAAATCCCAGGTTAACTCCGGTGGCGAACGCGATTTTCTCCGATGGATGTCCTACGACGATTTCACAGTTGTGGAGAAAATTGGCGAAGGTGGATCCTCGGTAATCCATAAGGCAATGATGTACCGAGATCCGTTAGACGGAACGTTACAACAATGGGTGGAAAATATGGAGGTTATGACAGTGTTGGCATATATGAGGTATGACTATGATGAGCTGAGTAAAAGCAGGTGGGAGGGTATTCTTGCAGAGTATGTAACAATGATAAATGAGTGCACGGAAGAGGAGAGAGAGAAAAAGGCGATAAATTTTTTTAAAGAGTTGTATTCGGAATATGAGGTATAAGCTCATTCTTTTTATCAAATATACAGTATATATACGATGCATGTGTGCGTATTACTGTATATATTTATTCGATACTAATCTCACAAAACGCATGAACTTCACAGAAGGGGGAAAAGGCTTGGGTTTTCAACGCCCCCCGAATTAAGGCGACAGCGGCAACATCACGACACTCATATGTTCCCCGGACGATGGCGGTATATAAAAAATTTAAACCGAAGGAGGTGGTGCTAAAACGTTTGTCGCATCCTTTGTCTGACGATTCTTTGGAAAGGGTAACTAATTATGACATCGTTGATCGTTCGCAAAGACAATTTCATTTCAGTGCTCTCACGGTAGCTGCGTATTATTATTTTTGCGCGTGAACAGTTAAAGCTCACCATGAAAAATAGTAAGATCGCCCATTGCTACGGGATCACTCGTGACCCCAAGACATCTGAATACATCTTGATCTTTGAATACGCCAACAAGGGAAACTTGAGGGAATATCTGGCCTACAACTTCGCCTCCATCAATTGGCTGCAACGAATAAAATTCATCACGGATGTGGTTTCCGGCTTGGAGTATATTCATCAGCAAGGTTGCATACACGGTAATATTCATACCGGAAACATCTTGATCGATGAGTCCTCGGGTGAACCTGAGGTGTGGATCACGGACATTGGGAGTTATCATCCCACGGAATTGGACAAGGAAGACAAGGAAGGCAAAGGAAAAATAGTATACGGATTGTTGCCACATGTGGCACCAGAGGTTCTACGCGGTAAATCCCGCACTCAAGCCTCGGATGTTTACAGCCTGGCAATAGTGGTGTGGGAAATTGTCACCGGCAAAATTCCCTTCGCCGAGATTCAATATGATGATAATTTGGCTCGGGAAATATGCAAAGGATTTAGACCCGAATTGAACGGTGTCTCGGATCGTTGTGTGAAATTGATAAAGGGTTGTTGGAATGCCATACCCATCGTAAGACCAAAGTTAAAGAGATAACGGAGACATTATCGTTATGGCGATTGTCACAACATGTTAACATCAACGAAGCAAAAAATGTAATTTGTTCTTTGAGGGGGAGAATTACAGTTAATAACAAGGAGAACAAGAACAAAAATCCACCGGGAGACGAGTCTTCGAATATAGATTACTTTGATTATATGCAACACCAAAATCTTGACGCGTTCCGAAGACAGGAGTTCCTGAAACAGAAGCCCAACAATAAAACTTCATCGTTTCCTTTCTATCTTGAAAGATTGCCAGAACCCAGGAATCTTGATGAATATGCTTGTGAGTGTTGTCATCTTTTTTTTTTTTGGAAAAAGTGAAGTGTATTTTTTTTAACTTGCTATTTCAATCAGGCGCATTGAAACTCAGCAAGGAAAAGAATCGTGAGATGATGACAGAGTCTTCGGTTAACGAAGAAGAATGTATGTGTGTGTGTGTTGTATCATTTATTGTTATCTTGTTCTTCCTAAAAATGTGACGTAACGTGAATCTTCTCATCGCATTAATGATTCAAAAGTTGACACCGTATCATCATCCCTGGACGAATCGGTCAGCGACAACTTTAGTGTAATTAGCAGTGATGGCGAAGAGTCAACTGGTGTGATTTCATTGAGTGAAGATGAGTTTATGTCATCAAGTAGTTCCAACGAGGAGGATAAATATGACAATTTATCAGATATACAGTAGTAGGAAGTATGAACAAATTGTGAGCAACAACGGTGACCAG